TGAACTTTGCTCCAATTGATCTTAGGGCTACTCCTGAGCTACCTAGTGCTAGATTTGATAAGTGTGCACCATACCTAACCCACTAGACTCACCTAGGTTAAGCTACTAGTCCATACCCCCCCTTAATAGTACGACCAAAGGAAAAATAAAGTCCTAAACTACTCTAAATGTCACTTCAACACCAAACGACACTTAGAACTAGTTCATCCTTAACCTTGTCGTCCATCCTTTGAAAACCGAAACGATTTCCATCGATAGGGGCATGACAACCATGATTGCCCAATAAATTGCCATTACCATGACCTAACTCAAATTGTCTCTGCAAAACACACGTTAGTCATAGTAATCTTGTGTTGTCATTAATCACCGAAACCCAATTAGGAGCATAGATACTTTCACCCGCCACACGTCGACTCTGCTGGCCGGCGTAGAGAGCCTTGGGGCTAGGGGAGCAAGCTCAGCGCTGAGTGCATCGACGGCACCTTAGGCCTCCCCGAGCCCCTCCTCTCTCTCACCGGACGCCGCTCCATTCCATCAAGGTTGCTCCTTTGGTGGGCCCACGAATAGTCGTCGGCGATGAGTCCGACGACGACCGCCCTGTATCCTACCTAGAGGTCGCTCGTCACTCGGCGAAGCCAGTCACTGTGCCCCCCGTGTGTGGCCAGACTGTCCTGATTCTGGGCTGTGGTGGAGCAGACGCTGGACAATAGGGACCTGGGCGAAGGCAGCAGAAAAGCAGCCAGCCGCGCCCCAGCTGGTGCATGGCCTACCTGCTCGGGCAGTGGAGGGCCGCATCCCTATTCGCCAACGCCTCGACCACCGCAGACGGGTCTCCGCCCCAATGCCGATGGGTGGTAGGACATTCTTCCCCAGCAGGAGACGAGTCCGACGGCTGCCTTGGTTGAGCATCATCCAAAGCAGCTCCCGAAGGCTTAGAGGATCCACGCTGAGTTTCGCAACAGATGTTTCAACTGTCTCTCCTACTCGTATTGCGTGGCGACTTGCCGGTTGCCACGGCGGTGTCTGCGCTGCCATGGTTTGGACACCTCGCCAAGGACTACAAGTGTCCCAGGCCTGCTTCGACGTCGGCGGCGAAGGGTGCCAACTTGCCATGGCACTCTGCTCGTGAACCGCCCCCGGCCTCCCAGCACACGTCGCACGCGGGGTTCCTTGAGCTCGGAGGGTGCAGCACAGGGGGCCGTCGGGGGCACCGGCGGAAAACGACGACGACGCCGGCGTCGCAGGACTAAGCCAACGAAGGATATCAGCACGGGTACGACTATTGACATTGGCGCCAACGCCGCTAATTCTGCTGCTGCTGTACTCCGCTTTTCCGAGCCAGATCCGCTAGCGTTGGTGCTGTGCGCGAGCACGGGTTCTCACCGCCTCGCTCGTCTTGAGCCGACCAGTGAGAGAACCAGCGCCCGGGTGCCAGCCTGCTCTAGAGGCCGTCTCCTAGGAGATTGAAGCATCTTTGATGGATACCTGTTCTCCGGCGACGGTCGTTTCCCCGTCGTTGCTGCTGCAGGAGCTGCCACAGCTCACGCTGCCTCGGGTCGGGCAACTCGAGGTCGAAGATGAGATCACGGTGTGGACGCGCACCCCCGGCGACGCGACGCCCATGCCACGAGAGGCTGCTCGGTGTCTTGCAAGGTTCACTGAGGAGATGCAGTGCAAAAGAAGATCGCCATTGATCGTCGGTCCTCCAAGGCAGAAGGCGGTAGCAAAGCGCCCCCTGCCAATCAGGAGCAGGCGGATTGTCGCTCAGCCGTTGTCGCATATACCGACCTCCAAGCGGGACGAGGTATTACTCAAGCAGAGGATGGGCATCGCGCTGCCGGCAGTACCAGTTTCTTCCGCGCCCAAGGGAGCATACGAAGCCATTCTCGAAGGGAACTTGACATCGAGCCAAATTGAAGCTCTGGACAAGTTATTCCCAGCGACCAACAACAGGGCCGGTAGAAAAGCTCTTCTCGGACGCCGGAGTAGGATCACACAGCCAGCAGTGGAGGCGCGCAGCTTCGTAGGTTGCAGCACTGCTCCTAGCTCGGTTGTAGACATTTTATGTAATATCGAAGCTTGGAACTGTTTGTTAGGACGGTCCAGCCTACGGCCGTAAGACCTCCGAGAACGCTCATCAGAAGCGTGTCATTTGTATATTTAAACTCTTCTTAATTATAATGATGCGCAAATCTTTTGCGTATTCGAGAAAAAACACCATAATCCACGTGTGTTAGGATGGATTAGAGTGGAATTTAGTTGAAGTTCCACTCCAATCTACCCCAACAAATATGAATTGATGATAATCCAATTACATCAAAACAAGGCCTAATGGAGTAGAGTTTTCGTGTGTGTATGCATGTTTATATATGGGATTGAATATGCATGTATGTTTGTGAACATTTGTGTCTATGTTGTGCCATTGAAAAAAAAATGGCGCTCTAAATCTAGTTGTGCAATCTGAAGGTGCCATCATTGTTCACTCTGCTCCGTCTCCGTGCACCAAAGCCACGCATTGCAGTTGGCGTGGCAAGCAGCTGCCAGCCACTAGCTCCAACTGAAACCAATGATCTGAATATCTGGATGTGCAGCTAGTACAGTCCTACGTCACTGTGATGGACTGCACAATTTGGGGGCAGAAACTAACACGAGTGATAGTGAGATAATCTGCTGAAAACACAAGATATCATGAGCAGCAGATCAATATCAACCTGGAAGTAGCGGTGCGTAATCGCTGAGGAACCAGCTAGAATTGTCTAGATTAACAGCTCCAGCGGATCATGTTACTCTTTGGAGTCTGGATCTTCTTGCAAAGGATCCACTTCTAATCTGTACAGTGTCATGTTCTCCACTAATTATCGTGTTCAGCTTAAATGATGGCACATGGTTGATTTTGTCGATTAAAGCGACGGGTTTAATTTGCCTCCATATGACTTGCGGGTGTTTTTCGATCCATTGTTTCTTGTTCTTCAGCGCTGGCCTGATTGATGTTCGACGTTGGTGATTTGTTGTGAGGTTCAAGGCCGATCATTGTAGGGTGAGGGTTCGTGGGCAGACAAACGACCACCTGGCACCTGAGCTTAATTTGTGTTCCGATCAAGACCAGTGATCGGTCCTTTTCATCCCATCTCTATCTCTCTGGATATATGATGCTGACCAAATCAATGTGCCAAATGAACGACCCGGGACTTCGCGGTAAAGCACCTTCACTTGCAAGCTTTTGTGGTTTTCAGCATTGACCACTTCGTTAAGTTAGCCGGTTTGTTCCTGGGTCCTTGCTAGTGTCAACGCACTCGGCACTGCTATTGGTTAATCACCATGCATATCTAAGATAAGTAACATTCTGGCCATAAATATATAGCAAATGTGTGAAACAAAACAGTACTTCAATTGTTTGAAAATACTACTACCACTCCTAATTGTTTTAGAAGAAAAAAAAAACATCGGATCTACATGTTACTCATGGGCTGTAGCAAATAGTACATGCAAAAGTGGTGCATACAACGTGTGCGTGGTATATGTGCGTTCAACCTGTAACTGAAAAAAAATAATTACACAGAGGTAAACAACTTAATTATTAAATGAAATCGATCCAACAAGAGATAAGATCCTGATTATGCAGAAGTGGAGAACAAATGATTTTGCCACAAAATTGTGTGGAAAATAATTTGCATAAACAAAAACACACGACAACCTTGAGATAGCTTCTCCGATCCTTAAACAACGATCCACATCATCAATCAAACATTCAAACATATGCTATTCCAATTCCAAGGTTGATATTCATGGACAAGCCGTCTCTCACACTGTATACAATATACTAGAAACAACAATCATGATATCCATGTCTGATGGACTCGTGCGTACGTAATCAAAGGATCTGCTCTGCTCGTGTTTGAAAAACATCCCGGAACAAACCAATGCGCAACCAGGAGTTCAAATCAAGCGCATCGGCCGGAATAGTCCGTCCAAGTGCGGTGCCCCAACCGCAAGATTGAGGGGTTCGTCTAGGAACCCATTAGCACTAACTAATATAAATAATCTGTCATGAAACCACATCCACCGGCACACTGGAATTATTAAACTAATGCAGATGATTGTTGATAGCTACTGCACATCTTGTACCAAGGACACACTCCCTCTCTCAAATGGCATGACTAATGTTTGTTAATTGCAGCTGGCCGTACCAGTAGTGGTAGATGCATGCTCCTGAAAAAAGGGTGTAATAAGAAGGAGGGGAGATGTTTTTGCTGTCAGGTTGGTGATGCGCATTGTGGCATCTCGTTGTCGTGATGGGTGGTGCCCAACGCAACCACACGAGGCCCAATCCATCCACCCATCAAGCTAATCATCATACAGCCGGCCGGCCACATTCATTCGAACCAATGCAAATCATCATCCATCCAATTCCAATACCGCAACAAACACACGCACAGGAATCAATCATCATCCGCTTGCTTGACAGCTTGTTTGTTGCTACACCGTACCGATCGATTCTCTCGTGCAACGCAACAACTGCACGTTATCCACAACACCGTGCCGTACGTACAAGTACATGTACAAGGATGTACTATGTATACAGGATCGTTTCAAAAAAAAAACTATATATGCAGGAACAAAAAGGAATACAATTAAAGAGAAAAAAAAAGATATTGGTATATATTTTACAACTCCAAAAGCTCCAAAGTGCAAAGACATGAAAATTCACATCAGCTCACCTAATGCAACACCCAAAGAGAGCTTTTTCGCCACTTTAAAATAAGCACAAAAAGCCTCCCCAGCTTTCACACACAAATCCCGCTGTCAATTCCTAACTACCCAAACGCAAAATTAGCAAAAGAGGAAATCATTCACAAGCAGGACTGTACTGCAGATAAACCAGGATTAGCAGCCAGAAGAAATACTCTTTTGTGGTATCCTTTTTTCTCTCCATTTTCTCGGGACCATTTTTTTTCAATTTTTTTTGCCCAATTCAAATTTTTGCTTCGACGTCAGTGTCGTTAGAATCCGATGGCGACGGCGGCAGTCGCCGGCGTCTGCGGCAACGAGATGCCGTCATCTTCGTCTTCGTCGTCGTCGCCGAAGAGGGACCCGATCACCATGAACTCCCCCTCCTCCTCGATCTCCACGGCGGCGTTCTCTTGGATCTGCCGCTGCCACTTCTCCCGGTACGAGTTGAGCTTCTCCAGCTTCAGCCCCTCGCGGAAGCTCTCGATGAACCTGTCCGCCTTCGTGTTCACGTCGGGGCTCGCGCAGTAGGCCGGCGCCGGCGACGCCGTGACTGAAGGGGAGTCATCCTCGCCCTCTGATACCAGCGGTGGCGGCGGCGGCGGCGGAGGAGGAGGTAGCGGTGGGGACGGCGGTGGGAGCGGGTAGTAGGTGTAGTAGACGCGCCTCGGGTACAATGGCGGCTGCTGCGTGTGCGTGTGCGTGGGCGCCTGCACGTGGGCGCGTGGCGGCCGTGTCCTGACTGGTGGTGGCGGTGGTGCTGGAGGCGCGGGGCGAGACGGAGGCGGTGGCGGTTTCTTAGACCGGCGAGTGGGTGGAGGCGGGGGTGGCGGCTGCGGTGGCGCCACGGAGTGGGTGCGGCGGCTCTTACTGCCCTTCTTGAAGAGATTGGAGAAGATGGAGGAAGGCGGTGGCGGGGGAGGGGGCGGTGGTGGAGGCGGCGGCCGCGGAGGGGCGCTGGTGGTGGTGCGAGCAGTGGAGTCCGGGCTCGCCGACGCATCTGACGACGGCGACGAGTAGTGGCCATCGGAATGGTGGTGGTGATGGGGCCTCCTCTTGGCCTTCATGGTGATGCTCTTGCGCTTCTTCTGGTAGAACGTAGCAATGGCGGACGCTAGCTCCTTGGCGCCGCCCACGCTGCCGCTGCGCTTCTTCTTGCTGCGCGACACCGTCGAGGGAGGCGGAAGAGGGGGCGGTGGGGGTGGCGTTCCAGGCGGGAACATGGCCGGCGATGGCGGCGGCATCGGGTTCCTCACCTCTTCCACTACTATCTCTTGCTCCAGTTCCTCTGGTCTCGGCAGTGTCTCGACGCTGTGCCGTCGCCGTCGAGGAGGCGCCGGCGGCGGAGGCGGAGGTGGTGGAGCAGCAGCAGCCATCACCACCGGCGCTTCCTGCTCCGGGACCACGTCCACCGCCTCCGAGCTCCACCTCCTGCTCCTCGACGGGGCCACCGGCGCTTCCTGCTCCGGTATTACATCCACTGCGTCTGGGTTCCACCTCCTGCTCCTTGCCGGCGCCACCGCCGCCTCCCGCTCCGTTATCACGTCCACCGCCTCCGAGGTCCACCTCCTGCTCCTCGCGGGCGCCACTCTCGCTTCCTGCTCCAGTATCATATCCAACGATTCTGAGTTCCACCTCCTGAGCCTCGCCGGCGCAACCGCTGCCCCCTGTTCCGGCAAGACGTCCAACACCTCCGAGTCCCACCTCATGCTCCTCGCCGGCGCCACTCTCGCCTCCTGCTCCAGTATGCTATCCAACGACTCCGAGTTCCACCTCCTGAGCCTCGCCGGCGCTACCGGCGCCTCCTGCTCCGGCATGGCGCGCACCACCTCCGAGTCCCACCTCCTGCTCCTCGACGGCGCCACCGGCGCCTGCTGTTCCGGCATCACGTCAACCATCTCGGAGTTCCACCTCCTGAGCCTCGGCGTTGCCAGCGCCTCCCCCCTCTGTTGCTGTTGTTGCGGCGGCCTCTCCTCGTCCACCTCGGCCATCCTGGGGAGCCTCTCGACGCTCCTCCTCCGCCTCCGCGGCTCCCGAGGCTGCTCTGTCCGGCCGCGCTCGACGAAGGTGTCGACGGGGATGATCTTGACCTCCGTCGTGGTCGTCGTCGTCCCCCCGTGCGGGTCGACGTCCCAGGTCCGCTCCTGGCGCTCCGGGCGGCGTGCCCGGTACAGCTCGGCGTCGTCGTAGAAGCGCCAGGCGGCCTCCGGGGACGCGAGCGCCCAGACGCCGTCGCTGCCAAGGCGCAGCTCCGGGTAGGAGCTGCTGCTCTTCATCCGGCGGATCCCCGAGGCGTTGGCGTGGTTGGTGCGGGACAGGCTGGCGTAGATGGCGGACATGGAGTCGTCGTAGCCGTCCCACTCCCCTGAGCTCGTAGTAGTCGCCGCCGTGACGGCCTCCGCCTCCGCCGCATGCGCCGAGGACCCCAGCCGATGATCATCCCTGGCCACCGGTGCGGAATTCGCGGCGGAATAAGAGGAGTCCCCGTCGCCGCCGCTGCCGCTGCGGCCAAGGAGGCCGCAGAGGATGGCGAAGAGCACGAGGCAGAGGTTGACGACGTCCCAGCCGCTCTTGAAGTTGATCCCGCCGCGGCGGTACCCTCCTCCTCCTCCTCCAGTGCCGCCTCCACCTCCTCCTCCTCCTGCCCAAGGCGTCCCGCCGCCGCGCCGCATCGCGGGGGCAGGAAGGGCAGCAGGAGCAGCGCGAATAGGAGCACGAGGACCCAGACCTTGGGCCCGCCGCCGCCGCCCCCATTGTCGTCGGCGTAGTGGTGCGCGGGCGCGTTCGCGCTACCGCCGCTCGTGCTCGGCGCACCGTCGTCAACCTCAGCGGCTGAAGGATGATCCCTCACCTGGCCGTCCATCCCTGCTCCTCCTCCTCCGAAGCTGCTCCGTCGTTGCCGCTGGCGTCGTTGTCTGCCAAAGTTTCTCTCGCTGTCCGTCCTAGCTAACCCTGCTTTCTTCTGTCTGCCTGAGCAGCTGAGCTCACGGACACGGAGGAGATATATACTCGACTCGTAGTACGTGAGGACGGACACACAGGCAGAGGCAGGCAGGTTTTTGCTTTGGGTAAAGGTAAACCGGTGCCTGCTCTGCTCTGCTCTGCTTGACGAAGCTGATTGCTAATGCTGACCCTCACCACAAATAATGAACTGTTTTTCTTAATCCGCTAACTAATGCCGGTCTACCGTCACGCGCTTGCACTGCTGTGCTGCACATGATTCCCAGAAAGAAGGAGCAGGGGGAGACGGGGGATGTTACGCACGCACATTGTTCCTTCAATACTTGCACTCCATACATTGTTCGTGACATAAGAGACCTGCGCGTCGCGGCAACAACAACACAACAAGCCGTTCGTTCTCCATGAGCTGCCTGAGGCATGGCCTGACTGATAGATTGATCAGCTGCAGATCCCAAAACCACGGCGTAAACTCCGTCTGCAGCATCAGCGTCCACGCTGAGGATACGGTACTCAGCCCAGAATGGTTTGGTTTGGTTTGGCTCGGCTCTGCTGCGTGTTTGGGGTTGTGTTCGGCTGGTCTATAATTCGCCTTTGACTGATTTGTACGATTAATTTGTTGGAAAAAAAATATACTATACCATGGCTGATAAGCTGACTTATAATGACAGCCAAACAAAACCGCCTGGGTTGTTTCAAGTGTCAGCACCATCACCATGATTCATGCCCTCCACCGGCTCCGGCCGTCCAGCCAAGCAGGGCGATGCGACTACGCGAGAAAACAGTATGGTATGGCCCCTCCGTTGGCTACCTCATCATTCACGCGACGACCAAACAAGGCCTTGTTTAGTTGGTAAAAGTTTTTGAGAAATGGTACGTAATACTTTCGTTATTATTTGATAATTAGTGTCTAATCATAGTCTAATTAGGCTTAAAAAATTGTCTCGTGAATTTTATCTAAATTGTAATTAGTTTTATTTTTTATTTATATTTAATGCTTCTTGTATACGTTCAAAATTCGATGTGACTAAGAATCTTAAAAAAATTTACAAAATTTTGAAAACTAAACGGCCAGCAAGTATGAACGGTTCCCGACCCGAGGCAGCCTCGTCTCAAGTCCATGTTGACAAGATGCAAAAATTTGGCAGCAATGAATGCATGCAGGTGTGAGATACTTTGACATTAATGTCGGCGACACGAAGCTTAAAAGATGTGATTTGAATTCACGCTCCTGGGCCGTGTACGCACGTTTTGACGCTTCGTTATATTTAATAATTTAGAGACAGACAGAAAGGTATTCGAGCCTGCTTTCGTTTTGGCACTGTACTCCTCGTGGTAGGAGTACTAAACTACCAGTTGACAAAGCATGCATGCAGCATGCCACGCTGATTGCATGCAGGCCCGCCGATACTGAACTGTCCCCAATCACACACAGTGCTGAAAATGTGATTTGGACTCACGCTCCTGGGCCGGCACGCACGCTTTGACGCTTCGTAGAGTTGCAGAGAGAGAGAGAGACAGACAGAAAGGTATCTAGCCTGCTTTCGTACCAGGCACTGTACTCCTCGTGGTAGGAGTAGTAGAGTACCAGTACACGCATGCATGCAGCATGCCACGCTGATTGGGGCCCGCCGAGCTGAACTGTCCCCAATCACACACAGTGCTGTTAATTGGAATAGTATGTTCTCTTGGAATATTATAACAGAATCTTACTAGGGACGAAGAAACAGCCTACCACCGATCAGCATGTTCGCTTAATCAAATGACTTATCAACTAATTAATAGTATTTTTCTTTTACACTAAATTAATTAATAGTATTTTTAATCATGACTTATAAACTAAACAAGCCCAAATAAACACGAATAACATTTCGCGTATAGGTACAGTATGTCTCATGAATCCAAGCTCACATGCATCAGCTATAGCTCATATACAAGTACGTACCACATGCGTAGCCCCAGGCGCGCCACATCTAATCCCATGAGTGATCAGAGGCTAATCACCTGGCCATAAAGCATTAGCAGAGCCTAGAAGTTTTTAGGAGCTTCCGCAATTTTTATTATACAAAAATATTTAGCTACAAAATTACAGGGTTCTACTTTGATATAAAGAAAATTTCCTTTTCAACATCGGCGACGAGCCCGGCCGGCCGCCCGGGGTGTGGTCGGGCGGTGGCTCCGCCACTGACAGAAAGGAATACAGACTCAGGCTATGTTTGGAGGGGCTCTGACCGGCGCTAGATCTATTACGGAGCTAGTCGGAGCACCCAAAACCCAGCTCCTCGGGCTCGTCTCTGGTTGCAGATGGAGCCAGGGCCTTTTAAGTGGGCCACACAGTGGGTGGAGCCATAGCCGCCGAGAGCCACTAAACGTAGCCTCATAGAGAAATCAAAAGGGCAAGTCAATCCAGCCTTCATTCCGCTCTCCCAATCTACCATTTGGTCATTTCATACGTTCGTTCATGGTCCATCACTTTGATATTTTTGCTGCTTCATTCCTACTAATCCTCTCTCGAATCTTCATGTCAGTTGACTCGGGTGGCTAGGTAGAGCCAACCCTAGCCTGGACGCCCCTTCCCCGTCGTCGGCGGCGGCGCTGGAGCCCATTATCGCTCTAGCGCCGCGGTCGCCTCCTCCCCTCCCTTCCGCACACCATCCGCACCCTCCCCTCCCCTGCCGGGCGCGGCCCCAGCACCGACGCACGCCTCCACCTTACCCTCCTCTACGTCCGCTGCTTTCCCTCCTCACTGCCGTGTGACCTCACGGGCGCGCTTCAGCTGTCCGCAGCGGTTGCACGCGAGGTGACCGCCTGGACGCCGCATCCACCTGCGGGGCCGGTGCCTTCCTCATCGCTAGGCTGCAGGCGCGCCGGCTACCTTGGCCTCCCGGCTCTCGTGGCCGCCCCTGCATCACCCGGCGCCGGTGAGGCCTGGTGGGCCTGGTGATGGCACTGTCGTGTCGTCGCAAGCTGCGAAGGAGGTGGCCGGATCCCATCCAAACAGTCCCCGCACGGGCCAATCCACCACCACCGGTGATGGGGAATCCACCGCGCCGCAGCAGCCGCCGCCACCTCAGCCCTCGACCTCGTTGACGGTTGGGGAGACGCCGCTGAAGGCCTTCCCACTGTCAGCAACCTTGGGCGTCCTTGTGACGGAGGCCTCAGCACCCAGCTCACCGCGGCCCCCCTCCGACGTCGGGGATCGACATCCTTGTCCATCCTTCCGCCCCCAACTCATCATTGTCTTCGCTCTCCGCCCAAGCTTCCCCCTTCGGTGGGGCGTTCCAAGTCTCGCCGATGGGTGGAGGAGGACCTTGATGCCTCCGATGTGGAGTCATCACCAGCTATCTCCCCAACCCCATACCTCGACGCCGTTCGGCGGGAGCCACAGCTACAGACGTCGCTGTTGCTGGAGCATGCCCCGATGAAAGGTCCTTGTATGGTTTTGGTAATTGAGTGACAACCTAGGTGGACTAATTAAGTTTATGCGAGATACACAGGTGATTAGTCCACAGGTACATATGTGTGAGCAACATATGCCACGGAAGCGGAAATTGCTCGGAGATGTTGCAAAGCTCACACAAGCGATGATGAAGGAGCTTATTGCACATGAGACATGACATTGAGTCATGTGATTAAGGTGGAGAAGATCAAGACAAGACTTGGCTTGATGGACTGGTTGCAAGAATGAAGGGCGGGTTAGAGGCTTTGGAGCGATGGACCGCATGGCGGTGAAGCTTGAGCAAGACTTGGCGCCGATGGACAAAGGCAACGGTGAAAAGCAAGTGAAGTCAAGATCAATAAATCAATATGATCACGTGATGATATGAAGTGAATCATATCATTATTGATCATGTTGGTGCACGTGTTGCATCAATAATGGAGGAGACAGAATGAAATGCGCAAGGCAAAGGTATAACCTAGGGCATTTCATTTCACCGGTCATAGGTGTGTAGAGAAGTTGATGGCCGGGTTTAGGATAGATGGTCGTACTATCAAGAGGGACAAACTTGTTTGCATATCGGTCATCTAGTGCCACTCAAGTGATCTAACTTTGCATCGTCGCTAGGATCAAGTGGTGTGGCAAGTTGAGTGGCTAATCCTTTGAAAAATGATTGTGAAAATGCTAATACACATACACATGGTGGTATACACTTGGTGATGTTAGCACATTTACAAAGGAGATGAAGTTGGAGTTGATGTGGATTAACTCGGTGATGAAACGGAGGCGAGAAGGGTTCGAAACTTCATCGGCGGAGTGTCTGCCCGTAGAGTGCGGACAGTCCAACGGTGCCACCAGCGCCCTATACAGAAAAGATAGGGTCTCACAGAGTCCATCGGATGCTGGTCACGTAGTGACCGGACGCTGGGGTCCTGCGTCCGGTCAGTGGCGGCAGAGAGAGTGCAGGCGTCGGTCTTCGACCGGATGCTAGCGTTAAAAGTGATCGGACACTGGTAGGGCGCGTCTAGTCAGGCTGACAAACGGTGACGTAGGCAGCGCTAGAGTTTGGCACGCGGGCGCAGAACTGGTCGGACGCTGGTCTATGTCCGGTCATGGCGGACCGAACACGTCCGGTCGCAAAACAGAGGCTAGGGGAGCTCTCTGGAAATGACTGGACTCAGGCGTAGGAGCGTCCGGTCATTCACTGTGCTGCGTCCAGTCGCAACTTGACTGTTGGCATGAGACAACCGACCGCTGAGATCCAGTGACTGAGGT